ATGTACCGTCCGGGTTTTGAACTCCGAGCTTATCGTATGTAAGGCCTGTGTGTGTGTGTTACCTCTGTTTATTCTTAGTTTCACGCAAAGTCGGGAGAGTAGCCTAGGCTGCAGTTTATCTTAGAACACGCATTTTCACTACTGTTGCACCATTTCTGCTTCATCCCCTCGCCGATATTCAACTAATGGGTAGCCGAGCTATTCTTTCCAAAGGAATGTACCATTAAATGTCTCTATTGACGCTGTTGAGTAACTACTATGATGAGTAGACATGTCCGAGAGGATCGGTCTAATGCGAATTCCGGGTTCTCATAGAATCTTCCTGAACGGCTATCATTTTCATCATCCTCATCTATATTGCGAGTTGTGGACTCCCTCTTTTCTCTCCTGCAGTAAGCTTTTGGATAACTCCACTCCTACTCGTTTTGGACAAAAAACAAATTTGGCTCCCGGCTTGCCATCGAACGATTCCAGGTTTCTATAATTACGAAGTAGTACATAAAGCTGTTATGTATAACTACAGTTTGAAGGCGATTTCCAATGTGTTTACACTTGACAGAAATGATCCCTCGGTTGTCCATAATCCCCACCACAACGCTACCAGTCCATGAGCTCCTGTGAACAGTGGTTCTGAGATCCGTTTCATTTGCTTTTAGGCAGCTATGCATTACCCGGCGCAATGAAATAGTTTAATATAATCCATAGTAGGTAATTGGGGCTCACCCCTATGGCTTATACTTTATGTGGTCAAGGTCAATGAACTTGTTGGACCATACACCTTCGATCGGTTCTTTGTGATTGCAGCAGATTGTAAGCAAAACCGCTGTCCAACAGATCCGATCCTGTCTGTCAAGTTACTCATCCCCAACAAGGATAGGATCAGAAGCACTTGTGTTTCAAAATGGTTTCGTTTACTGCACGCCCAAATGTTCTATTGTGGTTAAGCGGTACGTATTTTTTCAGCTACGCTTTTATTGCTTTCCTTGATGTATTCGAACGATTCTTGGTTACACAAAGAGCTGCTGTCCCTGGTCAAAAAGAAAATATTTTGCCCGCATCTGTCCTTCGCTCGTTGGATTTGTTTTATTTACCTGTACTGATGAAACGGTCCGCATACACGAGACCGTGCCACGGTGACGTTTATAGATGACTAACCAAGAATCAAATGTATCAACATGGAGTCATAATAGAAAACCGAATTACCGCGAGTGTGGAGATGAGATGGAACCGGCGAAGAGGAAAATTTATGGATAAACTCATAAGAGAACCTGTGAAACGACGACGGGGCGAGTGAAAAATAAATTGTGGTCAATAAGAGGTATGCTCAAGGGGTATACTTAGAGGGGAACAGGTTTGAAAGCATTGCAACACACGTGGTTGACAAGAAATGCGCTAATGACACTGCGATCGTGACCGATTTGAGCATTT